CCGAACTGAATTAAAGTGAGCAGGTGTAATTTCACTAAAATGAACAAGACCTTTAACAGGGCAGTCCGTAGCCAGCTGAGGTGGTGACAAACTGACAACCATTAATGATCTCTCTAGTAGGTGGTGGTGGTGATGGTGGTCGTGATGGTGGTGATGATGATGATGGTGGTGGTGATGGTGGTGGTCGTGATGATGGTGGTGATGGTGGTCGTGATGATGATAATGATGGTGGTGGTGATTGTGATGATGATGGTGATGGTAGTAATGGTGATGGTCGTGGTGACGATGATGATGGTGCTTATGATGATGATGATGATGATAGTGGTGATGATGATAATAATGATAATGATGATAATAACAATAAAAATAATATTAACATAGTAATGACAGTATTATCGACCTCATCATCATCATCATCAGCCAAGACAGAAGAGGTCTGTGTTGTAAGGCTCACCACTTGAGTCTCTTGTCTTCTGAGAGGCTGTAAAGAGTCTATTGCTTTTTGTACCTCCTTCCTGCCAGAGAGAGAGAGAGAGAGAGAGAGTATTAATTGCAAAATTCTCTGAGTATCTGGAAAGCCTTGGGAGCGGTGTGCTGTGAATAATGATGGTGGAGTGGTGGAGGAAGGAGGTAATGGTGGAGAAGGTGGTGGTGGTGGTGGAGGGAGTAGTGGTAATGGTGGAGAAGTTGTTTTGAGTAGTGTGTGTGTGTGTGTGTGTGTGTGTGTGTGTGTGTGTGTGTGTGTGTGTGTATGTGTGTGTGTGTGTGTGTGTGTGTGTGCAGGAAGGAATAGTTAAAGATTTGTGTTAGAACTGTCAAATATTGTGTAAATCGTTACAAGTTGAATACAGGTAATAGAGTTGTAACTGACACTATGGAAGACACTCAGCCTTGTTGGGTTATCTGACACTGTCCTTCGGTGTGGCGGAATTATATCTGTAGTTCCGGATTCTGAGAGTTACGTATGTCAGATTATTTCTCCCAGATGAGGAAAGAATACACGGTTAACAAGGAGTCTTCGTCTTCGTGTGGGTCAGTTGGGATAATGACTCCCAACAGCGGGGAGAAGTAACTCGTGATTTTGGTATTATTATTTTTAAGTCCAACGAGTCTATTAAGGTAAGGTAAAAGCCCGTATGGGTTGGGGTGGTCAGGGATGCAATAAAGGAAGGATTTGTGTTGAAAGCTTCTTGTACTCATTTGCCATTATTAACAGGGGAGGTAAGAATGGCATGGGGCCGGGGCAAGGCGGCGGCTACAGTAACATATCGCAGTGAAACTCTCGCCGGCCATTACTTATTATGTGGGGCTTGTTGGGGAGGGAGCACATTTGTAATGGTGAGCGGCTAATTGCGTCACTTTGAGAAAGACAGAGTGACGCCTTCGTCGCCAGTTTGTCGTGCAGGACGTGTTTGGTAGTGGTGAGAGGGGCCGGTGCCCTGGTCGTCCAAGTAAAATTTTCCTCCTTACCGGAGATGTGAGAAGGCGTGTATCTGGCTCAGTTCATCAAAGCCACCAAGATGGCGGCCGAGATAGTGTACAAACTGAACTGCAACTGTCAACACTGAATACGTTTTCCTGTATCTAGGTAGACGAGTTAAAAATGGGTATGGGAGTACCTGTAACCGCTGTCCGACCTCTCCCAAGATTCGTACTTTATTTTTTGTTATCCCTGTATTGAGTACAAGTAAAGGCTTCTATGGACGGTTGTGTCAGTGTATTGACCACACCACTTTGGTCACCATCCACAATGGTTTGCGTGAAGTGTGTTACTTTTATTTGTGAGCGATTGAAAACTTTAACCTTTGGGAATTAGTGCCCAGGTCCATAACTTGTGGCAGTCGACCATCCTCAGTATGGTCACCTATACATGGCCCACTCCGTCTCTTTACATTGGTATACACGAGTGTGCTCATGTAGATGATGATAACATTCCCAGAAGCGAGTGGTCAATTATGAGGCCTTTGTTGGAAGGTGGTCAGATGTCACATGTCTGTATTTGGCGGTGCCCGCCATCGCTCTCACATATAAACAAGTGAACCCGTCACCCCCAACCCAAGTGTGTGTTAGTACTCTCTCTTGAGTACAGTAATTGTACCTTCCGGGGATTATGACAGCGGTAAGCGACTGACACTGACCCTTTTACTTGTAGTTGTTTAATATTAACCTGTGTAATATTAGTGAACTGCGTCATAGTTGTGTTAGTTTTCATACTTAAGTTATTACATCGCCTCCAAGTTTACACTAGCTGGATATACATTGTACAGTACTTAGACCTGGAACTTGTTAGCGGAGTAAAAATAGACTCAAAGGTTTGTGAACTAAATCAAAGTAAAGTCCCCTTAACGGTTTAACGCCCCATCTGGTGCTATGGTATTCCCTGATGTGCAACCTGTCTACAAAAAACAAACAAAAATTAATTACTAGGTATCAGTATCGTAACACTGGGGTCCCAGCCTACTGTGTGATGCTGTTTTCTGGACCAATACATTACAGCTAGTTATTGGAATAGAAGGCTTAGGATGGTCTTCAGCTTATGTATAATTACAGAGCTTTGTTAAAGTGTAAGGTTAAGTAAAACCATCCAATATTTCTCGGCAATGTTGTCTGCGTGTGTGCCTACGTGCCTGCATCCACAAGTGCCGCGCCAGCTTCTTGCTTTAAGTCTCAGGGTGTCATACATCTGGAGTGCTACCCTGTGTTTAGTGTTATTGCTGGCCATCAGGCTCAGGTTTGTTTTATGATTATTACCGGGTGAAGATAACACCTAATGGAGTACAGTATATACAACTGCGCCGCCACTGTTTTGGTCCACTCCAGCCACGGCAACTTTTTTTTTCTTGTCCACGATGGCCGAGGTTCCTACTGACTGTTTTCTGTGACTAGATTTAAGAGCAGCTCTAATTGGCTGACTTAAGATATTAAACAGATACACTGCCATAAACGTTGCTGAAAGTAGTCCAATATTTGATCATAATTCTTCGTTCCTCCAGCTGTCCTCTTAGTCAACACATTGTTTAAGACGAGTTATTGTGATATCCGTATTATTGAATAACTTTACTGACTGGTTCTTAACTGTATTATTTTACTGACTGGTTCTTAACTATATTATTTTACTGACTGGTTCTTAACTGTATTATTTTACTGACTGGTTCTTAACTATATTATTTTACTGACTGGTTCTTAACTGTATTGTTTTACTGACTGGTTCTTAACTGTATTGTTTTACTGACTGGTTCTTAACTGTATTATTTTACTGACTGGTTCTTAACTATTATTTTACTGACTGGTTCTTAACTATATTATTTTACTGACTGGTTCTTAACTATATTATTTTACTGACTGGTTCTTAACTATATTATTTTACTGACTGGTTCTTGACTGTATTATTTTACTGACTGGTTCTTGTTCTACCTCTTCGTTCGTCGGGAAGAGGACGCAGTAGATTATTACGTCTACCCGTAAGAATTAATTAACTATATGCTGGTATTACGTTATGCAGACGCTCCTCCGTTACCCGACCAAGAAGTGAAAGACTCGGCAGTGAAAAAAGATGAAAGGAGGTGTTTTTTGGTGAGATAATGAGAGAAGTTGAGAGAACAAGCGGCACCTTACCTGGAGGAGTTTTTGGTAGTGAGGTGTAAAGTCTCAAGAGTTAGCAAAGTTCCTCAGATAATATACAGAATATAAATGTTTATTGTATATTGAGTTGCTGCTATATACATTATCATATACATTTAAAGGTAAAAAAACAAGACTAGTAATGTTGTTATATAAATACAGGTATAGTAAACCCAAGTACAGCATTTAGACCAGCTGGCTGTGTAGTGTTTGTTGACCCGTAAATGGTATTGTGATATTATTGTAAACAGAGACGAGAGAAGAAGCAGGAGGCGAGAAGCTATTTCACAGATGGGGACATTTCAAAGTTGTGTGGTGTGGCATTAGAGACTTGGACGATAGTTAAAAGGTATATATATATATGATATGAATGGATGCAGAGATGGAAACTAGAAACATGTGCTAAATAATACAAGGCGGGAATAAACCGAGTCACACATGCGTAAGTCAAGTAGTGATGAAACAGAGCTGGGTCATGTAGGGCGGGGGAGTGGGGAGAAAAGTTTCAACATAAACTAGGGAATTTTTCTAACAGCAGAGGTTATTTTCAGGCGGGGTTCCTAACTGAAGGGTGAGGACACATGGTAGATGCATCATGACGTCAAAAATAAGGCCACGAGGGAGAGGAGGAGACCAAAAAGGTTTTATAAGCGGATTTATACGTAAGGGAAGAGGGGGAGGGAGGGGGGGTCCTATTGTGAAAGGGGGGAGGGGGGTGTTTTCCTTGGTGGCTTAAGGTGATTTTTTAATAGTGTCTGTAAATATGAGGCAACGATACGAGTGTTAGGGCCGACAGCTGTATGGGATTGTTGTTATGGCGAGTATGGTGCCGTATTGATGGTGACTGGTGGTGAAATGTTTTTTTTTGGGGTGGTGGTGTGTGAGGTCTGGTGATATGTTTGTTACGTACTCTCTCTCTCTCTCTCTCTCTCTCTCTCTCTCTCTCTCTCTCTCTCTCTCTCTCTCTCTTCTCGTTCTCTGAGTGATGTTCTGCCGGAGTCACATACAACCTCTGAACGGTCAAGGCGGGAAAAAAAATGTTGAATGAGGTGTTTTGATGATACAACCTCATACCAAAATTGATTAGCATCCATAAGCGATTGATTTAATTATCGTAACTCCTCAAGGGGTGACTGACTGATACAGGCACACGGACGGGTATCGTGTATTTCCAAGTGGCCATCCCCGGTATAGGCGGAGGATAGCTAAGATATGTGTACTGGTGTCCGTCCGTCCGTCTATCTATCTGTCTGTCCTTCCTTCCTTCCTTCCTTCCTTCCTTCCTTCCTTCCTTCCTTTTAATCGTTTATATGACGACGTTTGGTACGTGGTAGTTGATATGCGGCGAAGTTACTGTAGTTAAGTGTTGATGATGTACCATGCGTGTGAAGGAAACAGGACAGGAGATAGTGGAGGTTATTAGGCGGTGTGTGGAGACCATGGAGGTTATCAGGCGGTGTGTGGAGGCCATGGAGGTTATCAGGCGGTGTGTGGAGGCCTTGCTATCAGCGGTGTATGAGGTTATCAGGCGGTGTATGGAGGTTATCAGGCGGTGTATGAGGTTATCAGGCGGTGTGGAGGCCATGGAGGCGTTATCAGGCGGTGTGTGGAGGCCATGGAGGCGAGGCGGTGTGAGGAGACCATGGAGGTTATCAGGCGGTGTGTGGAGACCATGGAGGTTATCAGGCGGTGTGTAGAGGCCATGGAGGTTATCAGGCGGTGTGTGGAGGCCATGGTGGTTATCAGGCGGTGTGTGGAGGCCATGGAGGTTATCAGGCGGCGTATAGAGGCCATGGAGGTTGCCAGACAGTAAGTGGTGGAGTATGAGGCCATATATACATAATTAAAGTGTTAGTAGGAGTTGCATAAGATTCATGCTCCCACCAGTAGCCTCTTATTTACTCCTGGTGGCACGGGAGTTAATTGACCTGCCTGTAGCACTGTGCAAGATGGTGTTGTTACCCCGCCACATGAGTCATCTGGCTGCATGGTCTGGCTACATGGTGTGGTTGCATGGTCTGGCTTAACCTCGTACACGTGTTCGCCACCACAGCTGCCTCACCACAAGCACTGGCACCTTATTTTTTTGTTTTGTGCTCAATTTTGCGAGTTATTATTTTGCCTGCAGTAGTGGGGTATTTTCTGTCCTGTCTCTTCAAACATCTTCTCCACCAATAACAACTCTTCAAACATCATCTCCACCAATAACAACTCTTCAAACATCATCTCCACCAATAACAACTCTTCAAACATCCTCTCCACCAATAACAACTCTTCAAACATCATCTCCACCAATAACAACTCTTCAAACATCCCTCCACCAATAACAACTCAAACAACCTTCAAACATCCTCCAAACATCATGAACAATCCCTTCAAACACCTCCAACAATATCTTCCACCACAGTCTCTTCAAACATCCCTCCCACTCAATAACTCTTCAAACATCCTTCCACCACAGTCAACTCTTCAAACATCATCACCATTAACAACTTCTTCAAACATCCTCCCAATTCAATAACAACTCTTCAAACATCCTCTCCACCAATAACAACTCTTCAAACACCATCTCCACCAATAACAACTCTTCAAACATCCTCTTCCACCAATAACAACTCTTCAAACATCATCTCCACCAATAACAACTCTTCAAACATCATCTCCACCAATAACAACTCTTCAAACATCCTCTCCACCAATAACAACTCTTCAAACATCATCTCCACCAATAACAACTCTTCAAACATCATCTCAACTCTTCAAACATCCTCTCCACCAATAACAACTCTTCAAACATCATCTCCACCAATAACAACTCTTCAAACATCATCTCCACCAATAACAACTCTTCAAACATCATCTCCACCAATAACAACTCTTCAAACATCATCTCCACCAATAACAACTCTTCAAACATCATCTCCACCAATAACAACTCTTCAAACATCATCTCCACCAATAACAACTCTTCAAACATCATCTCCACCAATAACAACTCTTCAAACATCATCTCCACCAATAACAACTCTTCAAACATCATCTCCACCAATAACAACTCTTCAAACATCATCTCCACCAATAACAACTCTTCAAACATCATCTCCACCAATAACAACTCTTCAAACATCATCTCCACCAATAACAACTCTTCAAACATCATCTCCACCAATAACAACTCTTCAAACATCATCTCCACCAATAACAACTCTTCAAACATCATCTCCACCAATAACAACTCTTCAAACATCATCTCCACCAATAACAACTCTTCAAACATCCTCTCCACCAATAACAACTCTTCAAACATCATCCTTGCTTCTCTATTTCAGATGTTACTTGTACCTCCCGCAGTGTGTCAGGTGAAGTCATACTGATTACTTACTTCCAGTGTGACCAGTGTGGTGGGGGGGGGGGCGGATGTGAGTAGCCAGTGTGAGGAGTGGCCACTGTGAGGTGTGGGTAGTGTGGCCAGTATGAGGGTGGCCAGTGTGAGGATTGGCCACTGTGAGGTGTGAAGAGTGTGGCCAGTGTGAGGAGTGGCCACTGTGAGGTGTGGGTAGTGTGGCCAGTGCGAGATGTGAGGAATGTGGCCACTGTGAGGCGTGAGGGCGGGGGGCAGCAGGTAGAGTGGACACATAGGGCGGGGTCTCCTCTTGTGTAATCCAATTTACCCCACACCACAGGTTAACGCCAGGTGTGGTAGTGTTAAACTGCTGCTAACACACACACACACACTCACACACTCTCTCTCTCTCTCTCTCTCTCTCTCTCTCTCTCTCATTTATCCAGACGCGGATTAAGAGATTTGTGATTGTGTTGGTCACTCCTCGTGGATTAAGTTATAAATCTCCTTGTTGATGATGAGTGGCACTGGTGTGT